TTATCCTTTCTCAAAATACCACAAATATCATTAGGATCATTGTCACACATTGTACTGTGAACCAACCATGAAGACAAAACTGTCTAAAAGAATGTATTCACAACATCATTTTATAAAAAGATCCGTCACTTTCCCTGCAATGTGGGATTTAAAGTAAAATTAACTTCTCTGCAACATTAAATATACAAGACTTAATGTTTATCTCTTGGAGATAGTGACAGTATTTTTAAAAAATGAAGATATAATAGATTATGAAAATAATGAAGTTAAAGTTTTAAGAAAGAGGTGCACGCATACAGAGTGAAAGTGAACACAAAGCTCAAAGGACCGTAACTTAAAACATGTCATTAAAATGTCTTATCTTGACAAAATTTAAATGGTTTTGAAAATTTGTTTTTTTCAATGTTTAAATTTACAAACAGACTTCAGAAGAATTTGTAAATAATCAGATATCCAGTTAATTTCATTATACAAAATGTTGAAAGAATATTAAAATTGCAGATGGGAACACTCAACTACAAAGTTAAAGTTTTCTCCTTATATAGTCGTAATCATTTTTTACATATAATTTCAGACAGTTTGGTCATATCTTTGTAATCTACTATAGACTATGATCTTTTTTACCTACCTGAGACATATGAAAAATATTATTAGGAAACTCTACATTTTTTTATACAAGATAGAAATTTTAGGCCATTCTGAATGTTTACATTACTACATATCATAAATGTTTAGTACATACTTCTGACTGAAAACTGTGTAATTTAATGACTCACTTAAAAGCCGCCATTAAGCATTAGCGTCACTTTCAACTGAAATGATTACCTTCATCAAAATTAGTTAAATGGGTGATACAATTACCTGTGAAGTTAGCAGAGCTGAACATACAGGTGAGCAAGTCCCAACATTCTTCAGGGTGTTTGCACATAATGAACACTATGCTGTTTAAGTGACTGGTTTTTTTTTCATTTTGGCTATGGAACCTAATTCTGATTTATGTATAGTAGTGTGCACTATGCATCTGGGTCCACACACATCTTGGAAATGTATTTTAGGCTTTATTAGTTGAAGAAGGGCACTGCTATAATCTTTTGTGTCATACCTCAAACGCCTACCCACAAGCAGAGAGAGCCAACATTGCACGAAGAACCCTGATGGAATAATTTCTTGACCTCTTTAAACATTAGTCTTTACAATTTCAAAGTTCCAATGATGCAGTGCTCTAATGAGCACTCTCTAACGAGATTTCTACATCTTTTTAAGGCAAAAGTTACCGGAAAAAGTTTTTCTAGTAAAAACCAGAAAATCAACATATAAAATGCAAAATTGGCTAGAAACCTGCTGCAATGTCTTAGTACAGCCTCAGAAGATGGACAGAACCAAGCTCCTTTCCAGAGCCTGCAAGAAAGGAGACCCTCTCAGTTTAGCACGAGGTGCTGCAGAGATGCTACCCCTCCATGGGTCTTTCACCCACTCTGCAGAGAAAACTATGACAAGGAAAGACCTCTACATTCCTCCACTAAGACACAGTTTTAAGATGGACTGAACAACTCCTACTACTTGATCTGATGGGATACACTACTTCTGTCATCAATGTTGAAAGTGTATTGCATGTTTTAAACTTCAGGAGAAACTCATGAAGCAGCACAGAGAGGCAGCATTTTGGTAGTATACATGCAAATAAATTTTTGGGAGTTTATAAAAAAAATGTGAGTAGCAGTTTCTGTCGGGGTTCTCCAAGTCTCACAATTTATGAGAAATATTATTTGAAAGAAATTTAAGATAAATTTAAAACATTTGCTTAATTACACACACAGATATCTTGCTTTAGTTTGAGAGGAATTTGAGTAATCATTCCTGTTGCCTATTTTGTTTTGTACAGAATAATATTTTCAAATTCACACATCAGGGTGGAATTCAGTGGGATTATTTATCTTTCTATGAAAATTCAGCCTAGCCAGAGATTTGTTTTTTTTCTTCCACTTTGTGTACACTGAAATTAACCTTTCTGGTTAAAAAAGATGTAAAAAAAGCATATTAGGCAGGTAAGTGAGGTGAAACTTTTGCTTTGCCCTCCACCAGAAACAACAATCCCTGGCAACAAGTGCAGAATTTGAAAGCAAACATTCAGTTGTGAAGGATCATTAACACCCATTCCCGGATTTTCTGCCCAAGTTAGCCATTTTTGTGGTACAACAGCTTCCTGCCCAACTGTCCATCTGCTCAAGGGTTAGACACTGTTCGCAGCATAGGTTAGCGCTGCTTTTACATGCACAACCTCCATGTCACAGCTGAGCATGTCAACGTCACGCTAGACACCGATCAACAAAAGCATATTTTAGGCAGGACACTGAGCCTTGGAGTGTCAGCTGCTTCTTACGGTTTCACTGAAAAGTGAGGTGGAAGTTTTACTGATACTCAGCAGAAATCAGGTGGGGCCTTTCTAACCAGTTGTGACTGCTGTCCCCCTCCACCCCCACATCTTTAAAATTTCAAACAGATGTAGCTCCACTATTATCAAGCACCTGGGTTTAAAATTATGTGCAATTAAGAAAAAAAAAAACCTTTTTTATACCATTACATATTTACATTGTATTATTTATTCAAAGTAACAAAATCACACACAATATTTAAACAGAAAAAAAGATCGTTTTTGAAGCTGTAGAATATCCTAATATGTTATAAATTCAGCTGAAGTCTGATAGTGCTTCCACAATTTGAGTGATTAGTGAATGATGAGGATCTGAAAAATTGGAAAGCTCAAAGGAATTTCAACATTCTTCTAGGCTGTTTCCTAAACTTAATTCTAACCCAGAAAATTGTGTCCTGCACAGAAAAACTCTTCCTCTCCAATTGAGCTTTTTTCATATATTTTGCATTCCTAGAAATATAATCAAAATGTTTTTTCATATGAAAGAAGGGACACAAACACCATGCATGCAATAGCATGTTTTCAATATTATTTTACTGATTCCAAGAAGACAATACTCACAAATAAATGTAGACATTCTCATGTGAACTAAGCCTCTAAAGTTGATGGGGTTCCACCACTCTGAACTTTTTTTTAAAGCAAGTTTGTGGAGAACAGGGTTACCTTTCAGAGGGGCCTTGATAAACCCAAAGAATGTAAGTAACATCTATCAAATGCATGAAGTGAAACAAAGCCAAAAGCAAAGTCCTGAAACTTGGACTGGGACTAAGTACATTCCTGCAGAAAAGGACCCAAGAGTGTTTGTAAAGCAGAAATCAAATATGAGTCAGCAGCGTACCTTTCCAGCCATAAATTACTGTAAGACTGGGCTGTATTAGAAAGAATCGGCCAATGGGTCAAGGGAAGCAATTAGTCTGCTTGGTGCTTCTCAGGCCATATCCAGAACACACTGTTCATTTTTGAACACTCCAGTTCATGAGAAGGACGGATAAACTGGAGGAAGGCCAATGGAAGGCCACTAATCTGGCCAGGGACACAACAGATGAGGAGAGACTGAGCACGACACATTGTTTCAGAAGAGAAGGCTGGGAGGAAATTTAATTTCCACTTAGTTAGAAGACTCAAGTGCACAGTGAAAGGACAGAAGGCATCAGTCACGAGCTGCATCAAAGAAAATCCCAACAGGAGTAAGAAAAAAATATTTTAGTGAGGGTGATTAGGCACTGGCAAAGGTTGCCAAAAAAAAAAAAAAAAACCAACAAAAAACCAAAAAAAACCAACAAACAAACAAAAACCTCTGAATTGCCATTTTTGGATATTTTCAAAACTTGCTTAGACAAGAAAGCTATGCAACTCTGACGGTAGCCCTGCCTTGAGAGGATGTCCGGAGGTTCCTTCAACTTAATTTACTCTGTGAGTCTATGGGTCATTAATAAATAAGGTAAAAGCATATCTTACTCCAGCTAACAATAATGTTCTCAGAGGACTAAATGCCCTTCTGCTATTTCTTTAGTGGTTTACCACTTAAATACATATTAAGTACTTCTATAAAATTGCTGAAATTAATCATCTTATTCAGGAATTTTCAGAACTGGATCATATATGTTATATACTTTATAATATAAAGGCATCCTTCTGAATTTTTCCAATTTAGAGACACATGATACCAAGCCCCTTCTACAACTTTTAAGGGAATGATATTTTTAAACACTTAAGCATTGCCCAGAGTTGCTTTATGGAACATGATATTTTAAAACATATGTATGTATTGCACATTTAAAACTGTATCTCCATCTCAATGACTACAAAGTTAACAAAACATAGACACACACACACACATGCAACACATGAAGAAAAGCTTTCCTCAGATGGACACAATTCCTCACTTTGGTACAACTACATATAGGCCATAAACAAAACCTTATACAGCATACACAAAAGTTCTGTGTATACAGTAAGGCAGGCATATGAAGTGGAAAAAAGTCCATCATTACTCAGTATGTTACATTAAAAAGACAGCTAAACAGATAAAATTAGCATTTGTTCTCTAAAGCAATTGCCTCAAGTTGTACATGGGTTATTTCAACTCTGAATCAGAGCCCATCTTTACTTTAACAAGAGAAAAAGCATTGTCAAAACGATCTGAAGAGAGAACAAAATATTTCCTCTCTGAAATCACAGTACTATGGCATTTATTTTCTGTGAGACAGAAAATTCAGCCGTCTTTTCACTCTGATGGAGTAAGATGTCCGAAAGTTACTTGACCATATCAACATTTCCTTCTTGCATGTTATATTGGAATGTTTACACAACATAGTGAGTTAGAATACAGACATATCATCTGCAACACTTTTTTCTCAGGTATCTTTCAAAGGTTCAAGAGCTTAATTTGACAAAGCTATCTAAGATGCAAAGGATCAGCCCAATATTCTTTCATACCGGTTTCACAAACTTTTCCTACAAAAACAACTTCAGTACATTGAATACCAATTAGCTTTATAAAGATAAACCCAGGATAAAGCTCATTGTGCTTTGTTTTCTAGGTGTTTAGTTCACACAAATGAAGAGCCAACATACAGGACTTGTCAAATTCACACGTGTGTACAGTTGGTAGATGACGGTGTATCTATCCGACTTTTGTTTTCCTTAGCATCGTTCAGAGGTGACTCATTACCTGTCTGGCATTTGAAGACTTGTTTGTAGGCCTTTCTAAAATTTTCAGAGAGAAATGCGTATATAATTGGGTTCACAGAAGAATTGCTGTAAGCCAGGCAGTGTGCAGTTACTCTGAAGAGAAAGGAGGCTTGAGTCAGTGGGAAAACTCCAAATTCAGCCCAGAGATGAATGACATGATGCGGCAGCCAGGAGATGCCAAAAACCACCACCACCACCAACACAGTCTGGGCTGTCTGAGACAGGGAAAGGAAAACACAGATGTCTGATAAGCAAAGAATCAGCTTTAAACCTGCTTCAAAACCATCATTGGAGGGGTAGGGGGGAAGGTATACGGAGAGAGAACACACTTCATCATCTTTATCACTGATTTTACTCCATTACCTATATGTGCTTCATTTTGCACAGTGAACTACAGCAAGGAGAACCTTCGCTTTGAAAATGCCACAGTAAAAGGCAAATTTATAACTTTGCTCAGAGGTAAAGAATGATGTTCCTGATTCCCTGCACAAAAGCTTAGCCTTTTCTGTGGTGGACATAAGCTTGATGTAAAGTAATGATAAAATGGGTCTTTGGGAAATCTCAGCCAGATCTAACAATCTATATTTTAGTATGGTGAACAAGTATTTCTGACTAAAATTTCAGGATGGATTTATTATACATGAAGGCAGCTTAGAGCAGAGGAAGAGCTTAGAGCAGTCAGACAAACACTTTGCTCAAAGTGTCTACAAAAGAGACAGGAGCTTTTTTAAAGTCTCTCCTTCAAACATAAAATTTCCACAGGGAGAGTCATACAACAACGTTCCAGGATTCAACTAGGAAAAAAAAAAAAAAGAGAAAAGTAAGGAGCTTGAAATGCCTGGTGATTGCACATTGTCAAAACCAATCTGGAAATTAAAGCTCACCACCAAAAGCTGAATTCAAAAAATTGGAACACAAAATATCCTCAGTGCTGCCTCCTGACTCCACCTGCCTTACTTATGAGAGGAAAGGCCACCAAGTTCATTAGATCCATCCAGACAGCTACAGCATCAATCAGGACAGGCCTTTCAGGTACTGTCTGAAAGCCAGAGCAAGTGGAGTTTCACTGTCAATGTTTTCTTTAGCTTTCACTTGCTTCAGAAACAGCAGTTAATGCTTTGCAGTTGCTCAACTAATTAATATCTACTCCTCTAACAAGTACCTCTTTCAACTAAATCACTCTCCCGACCAAAAGCCTAGTATTAATTCCAAAGCATATTATGTTAGGGACCATTATAATTACTATATTAACAATTTCCAACATAATTTTTCAGATAGCTTAGGCTCTTCCTCACAGGCAAAACTAATCCAGTGTCCACAAAGTGATAAATACTGCAGCACAGAGAATACCTAGACTTTTTGTTGGTTTTTTTGTTGGAATTTTGTCTATAATTCTTGAATTGATTAATGCTCTGCAATAATTCAGACTGACTTATCTATTAGATAATATAGAACATGGCATAATTTATAGAAACTTACAGAAAAAAAAAAAGGTTTTATTTCTGTGGCAACAAGCCAAAACAACTTATGATAGATACCGTTGTTGGTTAGCAAAATCTCACAACAGAAACCAAAGGACATAATATCTGTAGTAAATTTGTTTAGTCTCAAGGATTCATCAGTTTTCACAAGCCGTTCCTCTACTTAGCCATATGGAGTTTAAGTCAGTTGCCACTAATGAATAGCCACACAAATATCTTCTCTTTCAGATCTCATCAGGAGAATATGTGCTAACAAGGAAGTATAAATTAAGAGCAGTTTATTCTCTGATCCCTTCAATGTGTTAATATTCCAACTGAAAACAGATTTTCTGGATATCACATGCACAGTTATTTCAAAAGAGGCACGTTACTTCAGTTTGTTCAAAATTCTAAAAAAAATTACACCAGGAAAATCATTGACTTTCAACAGACTGCACAGATGCACCTGAAAGCAGAGGCTGACCTTGTGTCTCTTGTAACCATCATACTTAAGGTATTTTATGTCTGCAGAATAAATAATTTTGCATGAGGGATCCTCACAACATCTGTTTTATCCCATTATTCCTCCTAAGCGTAACTTCAGAACTCACCTTTCCACAGTCTTCACTATACTTTGCAACCAAGGTAACACTAAAGGGCAGCTCTTGTTTACCTAATGGGATCATGCTTAGGATTTCTTATTAACAAATAAAACCCACCTAAAATACATGATTATGGATGTTCTGTGACCCAAAAGTAGGAAGAATAGCATTTGGGTGTGTTCATATTTTTAATAAACTTTTTTTTTCCACATATACAGTAAATTAATTTTAAGATTCTGCTATTGAAATTTTCATAAAGGTTTAAATAAAGCTAGAAATGTATCATTAAGCCTGAAATGCATTCTTAACAAAATACTATAAGGAAAATAAGACAGGCAGTAACCAGAGAGAGACAACACACTAGTGAAAACAGAGTTGCTTTGTAAAACATAGGCCATAGGATCAGAAACTTATTTTCTAAAGGCAAAAAAAATTTCTGCTTCTTTTTTTTTGCCCTTTGGTTACTGCACCCTGATACGTGAGCATATTTGTAATGCTTTTCCCTGAAACTATGAAAGCTAGTTTCTAGCCAGATCTGCTTTTTACTGGCAGTTTTTAAGAACCAGTATTTAGAGGAAATGCACAGATATTTCCCATTTGAGAATAATTTAGGTGAGAGTAGAGATGGCAATGTACAGAATGCCTTTGAAAACTACACCTTTGGTCTTGACAACATTAAGTGCAAAAGTGTATATGTTCAGTATTTTATAGAATCAGGGCCATAATGGTTTTAATTCTGGGAATTAATCTACTGACTAGGGTATTTTTCAAAAACCAGAGAATACATAAATAATAGATTACTTACTCCCTGTTGAGCCCATGTATATCTCATTTACATTGCAGACAGTCTGCAGGCCCATATGGTAATAGTGATCAGACCAAATGAAGAGCTATAGCCTAAGGGTTTTTTTCTGACCCCACATTCATAAACTGAGAAGTTAGTCAAATGATTAGAGTGGTCAAATCTGCTCAAAAATCAGAACTGTATTATATTAACTGACAAATTCAATATATAAACACATCTTTCAAATATTGTTTTAAATCACAAAGCTAATATTCTGCTTTAAAGACCTTTCATGATTCTGCTTGTAGTCAGTATATAAAATAAGTCTTGAACATAAGAGAAAAAAGTTTTTGTGGAAAACCAATAGAAGAATTGCAGAATCGTTTAAGTCTCTTATTAGGCTCCTATCAGTATGTAAAAGGAACCTCATTTGGAAGTCTCATCGTATAACCTAGGAATTCTTCATAAAAAAATCAGCCAGTTAAAAGAAAAAAGAAAAAAAATCTACAATTTCAGGAAAAAAGCTGGTGAGGCAAAAAAAACCCATTTATTATTAGAGACGGGTAGTCTCTCCATGTCAAAATTTCAGACGCTCTGAAGTTCAAAATACGGGGATCTCAGTTAATGGCTTGATCCACTGCAATGGAAAACTCAGATCAGAAAATATTCCAATATTGCTAAGATCACAGAGACACTGAATATGTCATTAAATACTTCATTTCAATTCCATCTCTCCATTACATCTTTGACAACAAGCAATATAATATCAAATCAGCTTAACCATAAAACTAAAATATAAACAAACAGATATTGGTAATGAAAGCAATCTACCTTTTTCTTGGATGCTTCTGACTTCTTTGACATGTTTCTCAACTTTTTATGCAGATGATTAAGAACCTGAAAAGATTAATTTGCATCTTGCATGTCACTGTTTTCTAAAATGCAAACCTACATATTTCAGAGTATGCTCTCCAGTATGGCATGAGTCACTTACAAACATCGCTGATCCAATTTACACATTTCAAAAGTGCACAACATAAAATCCAGAGGAATTACATATCTGCATCTGTGTGAATGAACAAATGCGAAGCACACCACAATTGAATTTGTATATACAAATTCAGATGCATTACACAACAAATACATATTATAATTGAACAAGGCAAAAAATGGAAACCTATCATGCACCTAGAATGAGCAATCATTCTTCTTCCATAAAAATGTCAGTGCTTGTTAATTTACAATGACCTTTACTGCATGTAACATAAAAAGTGTATGTTTCAAGCCAGAGCTTTTCTGAGTCACCTGCATAATTCGCTTTCTTCAGATAGATGTTTGGTTAATATAATCAGGATGTTAGTGCTATTTGATCTTTGAAAGAAGCCTAGGCTTCCAAAAATAGTTTATACTAAAATGTGTCTCACATGAGGTATGACCTTTATCAACAGTTTGATGATACTTGTCATGCACCTTTCACAAGTAACTTTTTAAAGCATGTCTCTAAAAGACTCATCATCCAAGAGCAGGGTCCAAATTTTAACATAATAATTTACACGTAAGATTTTGGATAGTGGATGCATAGATGTGCATGTCCTACTTTATCTGCAGTCATTATTAGCCGAATCTAATACATTCTCATGGCATGATTTGTAGGCATGGGGGATAGGGAACATGCTCTTCAGCTGAATGTGTTTAACAAGTTGTAAACCATACAGAATAAAAAAAGAGGAGATGCTTAATTAAACTTGAGGGTTTAATTAGAATATGGTAAGAGGAATTTTTAGAGGGCGTGTCAGAAGGTAGAGCTCAGTTAGATGATGATGATGATGATGATGATGATGATGTTCGGTTGCACTTTACATAGCTCTAAGATGAACTGAGAACAATTTAATAGGTATGATCATCCAGAATTAATAAGTAAGATCATCCAGTATTAAAAGGATTTTTTTAAGGTATATAACACTAAATTTTAGGGCTTATAAGAAGACTTCTTGAGGTGGGGAAAAAGGTATAAATTCAAACTCTTTTATATCATCTGGGGATGCTTTCTCTGTTTTTGTTAGGCTGCACAGCTAACCGCTACCAGGACAGACACCAGACAAGATGACCTATAGACTTGATCCCACTCTGGCATCTGAGTCTTAGAAACATGCATGATAAATTAAAAGAAATAAGATGGCATTTGTGAATAACCATAGCTCATCAGCGGGCTCCACTTTGTAACTACTTACTCTTAGCTAGCAGTGAACCACAAACAACAATAAAATTAAAAATTACTTGTAACCACTTAACATTGGAAGTGCAGTTCATATGTGCTTATCTACACACTAACATGTTTGTGCATAAAAGCCTTAGCCCTGCATGCTCTCCCTAGTCTGAAACACCAGCCAAGCTGCTACCTGGTTAAACTCAGCTCAGGAAAGGCAGGAGAAAAATAAATGGGTTTTCTCTGAGAAGGTCCGGTTTTGTCTGGGTCCCAGCCCTGCTTCCTTCTCCAGGATGAAGCAGACCAGAAGGAAAGGGCAGAATTTTTGGGAACCAGGGGAATGATCCTCTGGCTCACACACTCTTTATTCGCCTGCTGGCACCCTGTACAAAACAGCTGAATTGCTTAGTCCATGGTGGAAAAATATAAAAATAAAAAAGACCATGGGAAGAGCATACAGTGAAGTTCACTTTGGATCACTGCTGCTTCATCTATCGTACCCCAGTTCACACAACTTACAATGATGGGCTGTTTCTACCGGACCTTTGCAAACCTCATCACCTGGCACCCAGAGACTGGACTGTACTGCAATTTTCCCTCACAGCCCAAAACTAAAGTCAGATAAACTCTTCCCAGAAACCAGAACTGTAAAATCTTCTTTTAAAGTTACAAATATATTTTTACTTATTTTCTGAAATTTTTAGCACAAATTTCTGCATTGCATCTCTCTCCAGCACAAAGAAAGATGCAGTAGACAAAATGTCAAATTGGATATTTAAAGTGTGGGGGTCTGGGGTGTGTTCGGAGTGTTGAAGATTTAGATAACAACATTCCAGTGAATCCTTCTCAACTAACCCTCTTTCAGATTACAGACATATTTCATAAAACAAGTCTCTGCAGTGAAAACATGCTGGCTCTGCGTGTCAGTGTACCAGATGGTATGCAAGCTATCAGCAAGAGAAACAAGCAGAATTTAATTACCTGTCAACAGCAATGGGAGAGCTCTCAGAGACCTACACAGAATACTGTGGTGGGATATTAAGACCCATGTTTATGCAGAAACACTACAAGGCAAATCAAAGACAGCTCTCCTCACTGCCCCGTGCAAATTATCTCTTTTCTAGGCCAATGAATAATCAATTGTTCCTCTAACAGCCACTGTCACTTCTGAATGAATAGTAATTATCATGTGCCTCTTAATTCATCTCAGGTTATTTCTCTAAAGAAAGTATTTCAAAATATCCACTAATATATTTGCATGTGCATCTTTATCTCAGGGAATAAAATACCATGCTAAAAAAATAGCTTTCCTGTTTTTAGGTGATGGGGGTGGGAAGAAAGTTATGCAGTTGTGAAAGACAGTGTAGAGACTTGTAGGAACACAAAAACATAAGAAGTTCCAGTCTGGTCCAGACTGTACTACCATTGATGGCATTTGGAAGGCCCTGGATTTTGCCTACAGACTATCCAGACTTCCCAGGCTGAGGGACTATAACCAAATCAAGTCAAGAAAGGGATTTTTCCAATAAGGGAGAGAGAAAAAAATAGCTTAAATTATCTGTGCCTATTCATATACGTCTGCCAAACATTATGAAATCTTGAAGTCTCCACTGTTGCAAAGCGTATTTCCTGTCTGGCTGTATATAATAATTTCACTGACCACACCTTCGTTATCAGGCATTGAAAATCATGCAGCAGAAAAGCTTGCCCAAGGTCGTTATCAAATAAGACTGAACTACTTGCTTAACAGAGCCATAATGCAAGCATTACATTCTGAACCATATTTTATAGTATGAACCTGATTTGAGTGCTATTGCCTGCAATACATTTTTTAAAGTAATGCTGCTACTTCTATTGTCACAACAGATCCTTCACCCTCTTTTGTTTAATAGTGTGTCAATAATGTGTCATACCCTTTATTTTTTATTTTCAGTGTAGTTTAATAAAGTTCTCCCTCACTGCTCTGCAAAATTTAAGATATATTTTAAGCCAAGAACTATGTAAGTTTGTATTTTATGTTGAGGCTTCTACTTTTTATGACTTACTTTTAACCAAGTCTATAAATCATACATGACTTCCATTAATTCAGAATGTTTGGAATGATAGATAATAATGGAAACACTCTTAAGGTAAGAAATAATATTTTAAAAAAGCTTTTAAGATCATACATTTATAAAAGGAAAAGTTTGCTAAGGATTGTAAGTGTCCAACCTAAAGGCCTGATTGAAGGAGGCCTGACTTTCAAAGACTGAAGCCTCATAACCAGGTAGTCAAAAGCAGAGGCACCCAAAATCAGCTGTCACATTGTACTACCCTAACAGATGTTAATTGTGAGAAGCTCATTGGGAGTCATTTAACACTTTGCCTTTTAAGAACACATTAGTGAGGGAACATTGTAGCAGTGTTACAAAACACATACAAAAAGTCAGTATTAAAATAATACGGCAAGTAATATGAAAAGCAATAAAAAATAAGAATAAAGGCTGTCTACAAGTATGCAGCGCTGCAACTCAACTAATAACTATACAATCACTGCTCCTCTGTCTGGAGCAGTAAGCTCCTTTCAAGCGCGGTTCAGTGAGCCAACAAAAGCTGGTTTCCTATGGATTTGTGATTTGTTGATTGTGTGTTCACAAAAATATGCCTCCTCCATGAGCAGATGCTACATAAGACCTCTTCCACCTATGGCTTGTCTTGTTTAACAGCTGAGTGCAAACTGACTCTCCTTAAAGGAGAGAGAAGATGGAGACTCTCCACCTTCTTCATTGACTCCTGTTTTCACAAAACTAGGGAAATATCATTCCTGATGATATTTTCACTCCTCTATCAAATTTGGTTGAAACTGACCCAAAGTTATTTGGGGGGGAGAGGAAACAGGTAGCCGTACACACATGACGCAGAGCACGATCTCACAAATCTCTGCCTCAAGAGCACATCACATGAGATTTCCAACTCTGATTTTGTGGGAGGTTTCCAAATACCTAGCACTATTTCAGCACTTCCATAGGTTGTAACAGTGTTGCTATCCACTGGGGAAACTACAAATCCATCCTAACATAATTTAAGAGAGAGTGAGAGAGGGAAAGAACTCAGCTCTCTATTAGAGTGCCTCAAAAACGAGACCTTCAAAACTGGAAACTGAATTGCAATTTCCTTATAAAAGACAGAAGTGCCTTAAAGGAGTCTGGAAAAGGCAATATATTCAAATAGAGAAATGAGTCTCCTTTGTCTTAATCTATTGTGTCAGAAGATTGTTTTATTTATCTGATCCTCAGTTCATTAAAAACAGTGAAGTCTATAAGAAACTAATGCATTTATTTTTATAATACCTCTGAGGTTATTACACAGCAGAGATCCCCTAACCCTGTGTGCATTCAGAAGCCAGAATACTTCTACTTCATAGTACTTTAGTGACATCAATAAAAGCTCACAGTGACCACTCTGATGGACACCTGTGGGAGTCACAACGGGTTTGACAAACCTAAAACTTCAGCTCTGATTTTCAGCTCCTGTCACCCTTAATTTCTCCCTCGCTCTTCCCCACGTGCCAAAATATTGCAGTTGGAGATTTCCCACTGGCTCCTAATGAGGGCAGGAATGAGCCTTGACACTGCGGGGTACAAAGACCTCAAACAGCCTTGTACAAGTTACAGCATTTTTCAGCTTCATTGACACTGATGGGAATACCAGATATCTCCTAGGTAGCTCCTAAAACTCATCCCTTCAGGTTGGATCTTCCAGCCTGATGCTATGGTAAGCAGGATCAAATATGCTATGTTAATACAGGCTCAAATCACATCACCAAGCAAGGGTGAGATCCTAGCCTGGCAGTTTAAGCACAAGATTTTAGATGTAATTCAAGTGGCCTTGGTTTTATGAACTTGTTCTGGGCATGTATTTCACATAGGGTTGCTTTGTCGTCTTGTGGTTTTTGTGGGGTTTTTTAAACTGCATATTCATACTAATACTGAGAGATCTACTTCTGTAGTGGTGCTTTGTAACAACACAGTGTGTTATATTTACTATGCTTATATATTTTTTAAGCATATTTCCTTTTTTCCCCCTCTCTACCATTCAGGACTGTCACAATTTTGAAAGACTCATTTTCAATCTTCTGCCATATAATTAGACTTTGAAGGCTAGTACTTTATGCTGAAACTGAGGATGGCTTGGCTTTGAAAAATATAAGAATTCTTAATAGCTGAAAATCTCCCTCTGCATACATTCCATAACATTCTCCCTGAAATATGTAATATTTTCTTAAAACTCTGATGATCTGTGGCTACAGTAAGTTTCATCCCTCTCACAGCTCAGTCATAGTCACCACTGCAGACGAAATACCGGCGTACTCACCCAGGGAAAACAGAATTCAGTTTATGTATGAAAACATGTATTTCTTCTCCATTTGCCAGGTCAGACTTGTCTCATTACAAACAGTAATTTAGAAGTGTTGTCCTTCGAGTTCTGCATAACTTGGTTTTATCAGAGTGGGATGCCATTCTAGACTTAATTTGCACATCACAATGAAGCTGATGTAATACATATAAAACTGAACAGAACATAAAATTATTTGTTCAAATTACATACATTAATTGCCTCTGTTGAACCTGCAAATTAAAGAACTGACTTCTCAACACTTAAGCAGTCCTTATTTGCAAGAGCAGACCCATCTTCTCAAATGTAAATTACTGCTACTGCTGGTTGCTGGCACAGAAACAGGAAAATATCTGCCTAACTCAGTGGGTAGCAGACAGTGCTCTAGATCCTCTCCAGCAGCAAGCAGTGGATCCTACGCTGAAGGCTGCAACTAATATTTACAGAAAAATGTGACAGTTTGCCTGAGCAGAAAAGTCAGTCCTTAAGTGCAGGCACCTTTCTTGATTTTTCCTACCTGGGTCCTCACGCACTGCTCCCTAGTACCACCTGCCCTTGCTGAAGTCAGAGGGAAATCTCCCATCCACTGCCACTGGGACAAGACAGGGCTCACAGGGGACCAGGCAGCATGATGCACCTTTTCCTCTTAACATATTAACTGGATCAGACCAAACTGGCGGATTTGTGTCATTTTTTTTTAAGCACGCTGCATTTTTAAAGAACTGCAATGCTTTGTTTGAAGTCTCAACAACTTGTTGCTTTGCTGTACTTTATTTGAGTTAAACTCTTCATACAGCACTACAAGTAGGAGAGTTGCACTGACAGAGAAAGCAGCAGAGCACTGGGGCTTCTTAGCACTTTGCAACACAGGAATCTAGCACAGAGACCCCAGTAACTGCCTCAATAAAGCCCCTCCCTGCCCTGTGCAATCCCTGTCCTGACCTTTCTGTGCCACACACATGCACATGTCTACCCCTGTCACCCCTTGGCTATAAAACCTGCCCTCTCCCTTTGTGCCACAAACTCACCCCTGCCCTGCTGTGACTGGAGGGTGCCATGTCCCTCCATGTGCCCTGAGATGTCCCCACAGCTCAAGGACACCCACCACCATTGTGTCGCCCCTCACATCCCTTTTACATACCCTTCACCACTACCTGCTTTGCCCCACCTTGGCATAGCAGAAGGAGATGAGCAGCAGCGGGAGCAGATAGCCAAAGATGAATGTGCAAACCACGTAGACCTTCTTGTGGCGTGGGTTGGGCCAGTGCTCCCAGCAAAAGGTCTGGTTGCTGGCGTCGCGGTGGAAGAGGCGCAGGTGGTGAGCTACAGGTGAGGCCATGGCAAAGGAGAGCGCCCAGATGAGCCCCACACCCAGCAGTGCATTGCGAGGAACACGCAAGGCTGAGGAGCGTCGGGAGTGCACGATGGCCACATAGCGGTCCACAGACATGGCCGAGAGCGTGAAGATGCTCACCAGCATAGAGACGGTGAAGAAGTAGTGGATGAACTTGCAGATGAAGGCACCCAGCACCCAGGTGGGGAGCACGTAGACTGTGGACTGGAAGGGGATGCAGAAGAGCAGGTAGGCCAGGTCGGCGATGCTCAGGTTGAGGATGAAGATGTTAGTGGTGCTGCGGCGCTTGCCTGGCTTGCTCCTCGCAAGCACCGTGATCACCAGCGAGTTGCCCAGCACCCCCAGCGTGAAGATCAAGCCAAAGACGACCAAGGTGATGAAGTTCTCAATGCCGATGCCGAAGAGGGGTTTCCCCTCCGTCTCCAGCAGCCCGGAGAGGTTGAACTCCTGGTGGGGCGGC